TGTCAAAAAGAGCTTTGCAAGGCAGACGGTCCTTTGGCCTATCCTAACCAGTACAATGCATGAAGCATGAGTAATTCATCTGTCGTGGGAGAGCTCCTGACTAAAACCATCTGGTATACCTTAGCATTACTAGTCCGATGTTCTCACCAGACCCTACCAGTGTTTCGGAGACACCGATGGTCAACTACTGACATCTTTGGCATTTCCTCCGCGCATTTACGCCAGGTCTGTGATCCACAAAGCGGCATGAATGGCACTGCCGCCGTGGAAACTCCGTCCTTGGCAGACCAATTGACGTCGCGTCGGTGCCATAGGTGTTAGTGGTTGGCAAAAGTCTCCTTGGCATTGTTAGCGAACGTGCCTCAAGGACTGTTTACGGTCGATGCATCCTCGGCCAAGGCGATACCCAGCTTGATTCTCACGAACCTGTTTCTCGAGATGATCAGTCGATCTGTGCAATAAAGGGTACCTTAGATGCAATGGATATCAGGCTGACGCCACAGTGGTCTTCGCATGACGTTCTTGCTCCCTTTTTGAAGACTGGGATGACAGTCAAGAAGCTCCATTCTACTGGTATTCTGTTTCCGTTTCAAATCTTTCGAAGTAGACCTCACCACCTTCATTGAAAGGTGCAAGGCGAAAACCATCTTGGCCAAAGGCCTTGTCGTGTTGAAGAAACGATATTTCATGCTGGGTTTCTTTTGTTGATGGTGGACTGGTATCGGTGTTCTTTTCGGGTTCGCTGAGTCCTTCCAGTGGTTATGTTGAAGGAGTACCAGCTGAGCTTTTCTCTGAAGTAATCAATCCATCACTCAAGACGATGATTGAAGCAGTGCTTTTGCCTGTGGCGAAAGCCTTCTCCATTCCCTGAGCCTTAACAATTCGCCAGTGTTGTCTGTCACCCTTCAGCCTGATACTTAACCGGCGTCTGAAAAACCTGCGTGCGCCATCATTATTGCTAGTTGCTGGTATGGCCATCTGATAGCAATAAGACCTGCCGCTCTTGATGATATCCAGTGTCCACCCTTAACAATTCGCCAGTGTTGTCTGTCACTCTTCAGCCTGATACTTTACCGGCGTCTGAAAAACCTGCGTGCGCCGTCATTACTGCTAGTTGCTGGTATTGCCATCTGATAGCAATAAGACCTGCGCTCTTGATGATATCCAGTGTCCACTTCTTCAAGTCGGATGGCTTGGACAAACAATTTTGAAATCTTGAATATAGCTTCTTCAATCCGCTTTCCTTCAAACTCCAAGCAATCTTCGTCATCTGCAAGACTGTGAGCTTCCAGTAGCCTTCTAGCCAGATCAACTCGATGATCTTGAACTACTGAAAGTTTCCGGGTTGAGCGAATGGATTGAATCTACTTTGGTAAGGGTAATTCTGACAGAAAGCCAAGTGATAACCGAATCCGCCTAATGGCATAATCAGAGCCAAGTTGCGTACCCCAGGAGCCACAATTTTTAATGGAGGTTTTCCATCGGCAACTGCCAGCCACGTGGTCCTATTGAGCTTATAGAATGAGATGGACCAAGTGTTTAGGGCGCGAATTTAATGAGCGGAAGGTCCATGGTTAGAACTCGATCTTTGCCTCTCGACTTCTCCTGTCTAGGCTTGGGCAACCTGACAGTATCGCAGCCCTCATGCTTTCTTCTGGTGGCATGGTAGGTAGGCACCGAAAGGGTGCTACAGCTAAACGATTTTTTATGGTTGTCGTGTGTGTTTGTGCTGGAATCCCATACTGACCAGGAACAGACAATGGTGAGCACAAAACTGAAGCAATCGCTCCCCAACAACTTCAAATCTACCACCTAAAAGTGCTTCTTCCGGACTTAGTCATCCAAATTGAGCATTCATATCAGCCGCCAGGACTACTATATACGTTCTTCCTGACAGACTCCGTTGTCATAGGTCTTGATAAAACCCGTCCTCATTCTCAAAACTGCCGTCTGTCGGGGCGTGTGTTGATACGACGAATAAACACTGTTAACTGCATTGACCTGCATTGGTCTTGATTGAGCCAGGCAACCACACAGCGCAAAGGCAACTGCTGGGATCCAATCCAGTAAGGCGCATTCAGCCTTGGGGCTGAGCGCAACTTTCACACCGTAGATATTATGAGCTATTGCGTCAGGATCACTAAAAAGCCGAAGGGTTAAATGTGGAACATCTAAGCTAGTCTTAATTGGCTTGAGGTGCTTGACTGAAGTAGAGTCTCATGCGTGTTTCAAAGGCACAATATACATCAACAGAGATGTCGAGTGACGTTTGATCAAGAAGTGCTTGTTGTCTTTTTTAAAAGGGAGTACGGACATTGAAGGTTTCTACGTGAATCAAATCTTTTGAAGTTAGTAAGTTATTATTTCAGTTTATTGTTCTGGGTTGTGGTTTGGACACGGAACAATGGCTAGGGGGCTGGCGCATGGGTTGGTCGCACTGCATAATTTGATGGGTGGGGAGGGCTGTCCAGGTGGGCTGGTCGACGAAGAGCTGCAAGGGAGAACGATACCTCCGGTTGCCCAAGTTGAAGAAGGGGGTTTAATTGAAGTACTTCATCTTAATTAATTGACTCAGAAGTTTGATCCACAGAACAGATGGTCCCTAGCCCAAAAGTCTGACCTGCGAGGCAGCATATTTTGTCTCAAGCGCCACCGAGCTTCTGGTCCGGATGACTTCCCGCCAGCATTATTCAAAGTCGAGGGTGAAACCCCCAGTCAGTGCTTGTTTGATCTGTCTGCCTGCATTTCAGAAAAGAAGACTGTTCCAGACAACTGAGGAGAGTCGGCGATAGTATCCGTTTTCAAGAAAAGGGCTCATAGTGAGTGTTGTAACCAAAGCGGGATCAGTTTGATCCCGGTCGTAACGAGATTGCTGGCATCATGCTTCGTCGCCTCAGGGTGGCTCGCGGAACACTAACCCGAGAGCATCAACTAGAATTCCCTCCTGGTAGGGGTTGCGTTGACCAAATTTTTACACTCCGTGAGGCGCTAGAACAACGTACAAATGACCAACGATTTTACTATTCCTGGAGTTCCAAGGCGCATTCGACTCGGTTGACCGGTCTGTTCCTTTCAACATGCTGGACCATCAAGAAATATCCCAAAAGTTCGTGAACACAAGTTCTTTGGATTCTCAGACTTTCGGACCTGTGAGAATATACGGGGAGCTATCTAGAAGCCATAGTACACAAAGCGGTGTCCGTCAGTGGTTCCCATCACTTCCATTTATATTACTTTCGTGATCGATAAGATAATGAGACGGACGCTGGAATGTTTCGAAATACCGCTGTTCAAATAGCCTCTGATAATAACCTTGTCGATCTGTAATATGCAGACGATATCGTTCTCTTCAAAGAGGAGAAGAAGGCACAGGTGTTCTTGGATGAACTGACCAAAGTGTAAGTCTTGCTCGTGGGCATTCAGTCAATCAACACGCCACTTGGCATCCAGCTGGAGGCACTCGAAGTTGTGGAGCGTTTTATGAACCTTCGAAGCTGTATTAGTTCTGAGTGTAGCATGACAGATGAGGTCAATGGAAGGCCCGGGTCGCGTTTGCTAATTTGTGGTGGTGTGTTTCCCTGAATCTCCAGGGCCGTGCGTATCAAGCTTCATCGTTCAGCTGCATCAGTCAATCAACCGAAGACAGCAACATCAGTGTTGGCACTGATGCTTCATTTTAAAAGCCCTAGAGTGAAAAGATAAAAAGAGTGGGTGGGGGAGGGGACCTAGTGCTGGCCTATGTCGAGCATCCCGAGGTGCCTACACCTACAACCGCTCTGTCAGACAATCTGGAAAGAAACTGGTAGCACGAACTCCACTGACATCGATTAGCCGCCATTTCTTGCAACGTCTCCAGCCACGCACAGACAGGGTTACGCGGACCCCATCCTGGAAGGCGTACAGCACCAACAACACTCAAACTCTTCGTGATCTCTTTGACGCCTTTCTGCCAAGTCATGTGCTGTCCAGCTCGCGGTTTGCGCCACCCTGAGGGAGACACGGAGAATAACACTCGTCTCGGTAGACGCTGTTTCGGTATGCGTAGCGCATGACCGAGCCATCGTAGTCGATGATGTTGGATGTTTTCTCGGATTGAGGTGCCTGGAGCACAACCGAAAACTCGTTTTCTAATCACCTCGTTACTAACACGCCGACTCCATCCACAACCAACCACGCTTCTGAGGCATCGGTGGTCGAAAACTTGGAGACGCCTCACGTCGTCTGTTCGCGGAGGCCATGTCTCGTACCCATACAACAACGCAGCCCTTACTGTAGCCTGATACACGCGACCCTTAAGATCCAGTGAGATGCCTCTTTGACGTCACAAGTCACGCAAATTAGCTAACTAGATTCGAGCCTTTGAGATTCTTGCACTGACTTCATCAGACACATTTCCGTCAGACCTAATACAACTACCGAGGTACGGAAAGTTTTCCACAGTCTCTAGTGATTCTCCTTAAATTGGAAGAGATACGTACGCAGACGGTACGTTCTGAAGCATGATTTTGCGCTTTGAAGGTGCTGTATCACCCTTTTGGTACTTAGCTGCCATGCTACCCGATTTGATACTGTATACCCGCCTAACAGTTTTTATTACTAGTTTGCCTTCACAAGTATTCGACATCCTGAGAATTGTCCCTGATTGCGGTAGTAACCGGTCTCGTCCGGATGTGATGCCCACCGAGGCACCATGTACTCATATTGCTCTCTTCTGTATAGCTATAACCATTTCTGTCTGCTTCTTCGACGATGCTCTCTTTGACCTAACTGGCTCCCTGTCAAATCCATCCCAGACTTTTCAATCATCTAGGCCTAGTCTCCCCACTACCCTCACCTTGCAGCGTGGCAACACAGTGTTGGAACTGTCGAATAAGCCGAATCCCCTTCCATCCATCCGTTTTTCGAGTTTCATCCTTTTTGGATTGACCAGTAAGTTCTTGATCAGATTTACGCCCGAACCAGCAGTAACCTATGGAACCCTTTGTCTAACCACTACTTCATTGCGAGTCCGACGTACCATCCCCATGCGCACTTTCCTCACCTTTCAGGTTTATTAGCCGATTGCTCTATTTTGCTTGGTCGTTGGTTAGATACAAATGGATGGCAAGGTGTGTCCAGCCTGCTCACATTTGTCTCTATTGGAACCCACATTTCAGCGTGAACCATGAAGACGACTTGTCTTAACCCCAACAAAGGTGAGTATTTTAACAATTTTTCATCATTTCTCTTTACCTGAATCACAACCGTAATCTGAGGCGTTGTTTCAGTGACATACATACACCGCCTTTGCGTTCTCGTTAAGATTGTTTGCTCTTCTGATTGACTGTTCTACCCTGCACACAATGTATCTGCGCAGGTTGCTGTGCGGTTGTGATCGGCATCTACTTCCCGAACAAAATGCTTAAATCAGTGAAAGTGCTTTTTTCGAAGGTGTTACTTGTTGAAGGGTAAAGAGAACGGTGCAGTGAATGATTTTCAGCCGGGCACATGTTCAGGGTATCAATAACACGTCACCGCTTTAAAAACGACAACGTCATTGATATGCGGCTCATCAAGATCTGCACCTATAAGAGGAGCCTAACTCGACAGGGCCTTTGCTTTGTTAGACAGGATCCTGCGCCCGAGAGGCCTTACCACTCATATGCTTGATCGGTGAAGAGGTCTGACCGCCCGTCATTCCGCCATCAAGCCAAACTCTGATGGGGCAGAAATATGGGACCAACATCCGAACGTGTTCCAGTGTTCGCTGAATGTCAGTTGCTGGTGCTGCCTCCAGGAGGTGTTCGAATACCCAGGACGCTACAATTGCAGACCTTAACCGGAGGTGAGATGGCTCGCTGGTAAGAGTGCGAATCCGACCTTAACCGGAGGTGAGATGGCTCGCTGTTAAGAGTACGAATCCACTGATCGAAAGGTCCGTGGTTCGACCCCGACATCTGCCTCTCGGCTTCCCTGTCTAAATTTGAGCAACCTGACAGTATCCCAGCCCTCGTGCCTACTTCGGGTGGCATGGCAGCTAGGCACCGAAAGGGTGTTACAGCTGAACTATTTTTAGACCTCAATTACGAAGCACAATGCATGGGTTTTCTGGCTTGTTTTGGGCATTCAGTGTACCTTTGCTGCTTATCCGTCTCATTGCGCTGTTATAAACCGGGCTTTTGTAAACTTTCAATGCCGGATTACTAAGCGCAACTTCGCTATATCGCAGATGCGTTTACGCATCAGTTCACCGGAGAGGCGACCACTTTAACAAACATGAGTATCATCTCCGGGCACCAGTGGTTGAAAGTCTCTACTCCAGATGACTCCCATCTCTTAAGGATGAGCCTGGTAACATAGAATCTGACAGATGGCAAACTGATTTCCCGTCAGTTCCATGGTGCAACTAAGTCATTCTTGAACGGCTTCATCTTCTTGGGTGTAGCCCTCGCTAAGTTCGAGCCAAGTTCGATCGGCTCTCCCAACGCTGACAGCTGCTAATCAAGTGAGCCTCTGCTGCCTCGTGACTTTTATTTCTGGTTCTAGGGCCCACTAATGCGTGAAGCTGAGTGACTGTTGCAGTTACCTTCCAGCCTGTGCACTCAGAGAACTCGAGATCAACGATTTGAATCTCGGATCTGATATCAGAGTATCACTTAGAGTGGAATGTACTGCCTCACCTCGTGAATAAATCAAAGCACTTGTCTGCACCGTTAAGCGTTTTTTTTAGAAGACTTGCGCTTAGTCAAACCGAACACTTGAGGCGAAGTGGTTTTCTCACATTGGTTTCATTTTGGTTGTAACTAAGTGGCCCAGATTTCACCATGTCCGGTCATATCTGTCGGTAGTCTAAACGGAATAACTCTTTTTTGAGGGCTCCTAAAGTTATTTTCTTGGTTGGATTGCGGCGCTTTCTTGCAGTCGAGCAGTATTTCACCACCCGTTAGTCGTAGCTGTTTAGGCACGCCTCAACTGAGAAAACGACTGTGCATAACGGGCTGCTTCGAACTACGTCGCACAATCATCATACCCATCGGTTCACCTGTCTTGCCTTCCAGGTCTTTTTTTCTCATGGGCCTCACTCCGCCTTTTTTATCCCCGGATCAAAAAACCCATTTTATCTTTGAGTCCGACGACGGCGTGTTTGCAGTCCGTGGTTCGAACCCGACCTCCGCCTCTCGACTTCCCCTGTCTAGGTTTGGGCAACCTGGCAGTATTTCAGCCTTCGGGTGGCATGGCAGTTAGGCAGCGAAAAGGGTGCTACAGCTGCTCCTGTCCATGAACAGCGGGGATGGCAGAGCTGGGTCTGAATGGTAACCTTTTACTTGGCCGTTCCCCTCTGCGCTGCCCTAATCACATCGACATCTGTTTCCCTACTCCCTGATCCTTAAAGGTTTTCGTCACAGTGGATGGCAATCAACAATAAACGAGGTCTTCGGCTGTTGTATCCGTTGTCTGGTGAGCATCATACTTCGTAAGGTGCACTTTACAGACTGCTGCGTTCGGTATAGTCGGTTAATTCCGCTTCGCCCTACATCGACATCTGTTTCCCTACTCCCTGATGCTCAAAGGTTTTCATCGTAGGGGGTGGTAATCAACAATTAACGAGGTCTTAGGCTGTTGTACCCGTTGTCTGGTGGTCGTCATACTTCCTAAGCTGCACTTTACGGGAACAGACTGCTGCGATTGGTATAGTCGGTTAATTCTGCTTCACCCGCTCCTAAGAACCGATGATGTCCTGCCCGTTCTATCCTCGTGGCGAAAGTAGTCCCACTGATGTTTCTCACTGACAGTGCTGGATTTATGCACCAATTTATCAGCTCCCGCCTTCAATGCGCAGCTACCTATCCCCCCTCAAATCATCGGTGAGCGAAACTGCGGCAGCCACAACCACTGTACGACGAGTACGCGGTTATTACAGCTGACAATGATGACGATGGACCTTCTCATTTGTCAGGTCCAACTATCTTACCCCTTAGTGTAAATTAACCAGTTCAGATGGTTTCAGTTGTGTACCAACTAATACGTAAACCAGTGACTCCCAATAGATGGCTTGGTGATCGAATGACTTGCTTTTGGCTTTTCAGATCGATTCAGTTAGACCACGTGAGCTCTCCAACGTCTGTTTTTGCTGTATGGTAAGACGGGCAAATGAAGGACATTTTCAGTCCATCCATCCATTGTTCATGCAACAACTCTTGTTCCATCGACAAGGTTTTCGCACATACATTGGCTTTGCTTCTCGTGATACAATACTTATGAGGCTGATGAAAACTCTTGGACAGCCCAGGACCGGTTTCTTTTTTCTCGGAGTTCATCAGGTAGGCGCAGTCCCCGAGTTGCCGTCAACCTTATGTTCCACTTGGACCCCAAATTGCACGAAATTAGCGAAACGCACTTGTTTGCGAACCGATCTGGTTTTGCGAGAGACTCACCCGGAACCCATATAATCTCCCGTTTACGATATTCTCAAGCGATATCTCGAATATCGTAGCGACTGAAACATGAGGCAGCCTGATGCAGCACATTCAGTTGCCTGGAAACATCACAAACGAGAGATCCAGCTAGGTTCCAGGTGAGTCTCTCGCAAAACCAAATTTGTTCGCAGATGAGTGTATTTCGCTAGTTATCAGTTTCTCGGTATATTGTCACGACTGGTCAAATCAGACCGTATTTTTTGTACAAAACTACATTGTACCTTCTGACACAGCTCACTCGCATGGTCGGCGTTCGTTGAATCATTGATCCTTCTCTAAGTGCAGCTGTCTATGGCCTGTTCAACATCCAATCAAAACGATGTGGCAGTGGATCGCCCTTACTGAGGGAATCACCAGTTTGTCCGCGCAATGCAATTACTCGTTTGAGCTCGCTTCTACACAAGACGCCCGTAGATGGACTGTTTGACCATTAACGCACAGTCTTATGAAACTGTGGACACTGTGAAACTCTAAGTGCCGTTGCTTTGTCCGCGTTTGTGCTCGACCATCTCATCGACCTACCTGATCGACCTATCTCAGTCTAATGACTCTATTACGACCTATTGGATTCGCGAACTAACCAGTTGCGGAAAGGAATGTATCAATTACCATAGTGGTTATCAAAGAAAGCCTGAGATGCTCGTGAGAAAACCATCGCAGTATCAGCCCAGTAGCTGTAAACCCAACAGTTGCCACGAGAGGCAGCTCAAGTTGGGTGTCACCATCTTTGGAGAGGATATTCATATTGCCCTGATAAGTAACACTGGGTAGTTTTTCGGCTAAGATTAACATTCAACTCTGTGGTGCTCCCGATTTCACTTCAAAGTTTCAAAACATGGCCGTTGATGAACGTTTTGAAGACTGATGTTTCCGATCAATCGTTCAGTGGGGTTGTCCTCGGCTGGTGGACAAACGCACTCTGTAAGATTTTCTTGTGGAAAACGGAGCTGCATGAATACACATCGGATCGCGTTGCAACCTGTTATCAGCTCTCGTTACCCTTTTTGGTCATCATTGGTGTCCTTCAATATTGTCCGTCTTCTCCGTTCCTTTTCACTTTGTTCGTTGGTGACGTATTCAAGTGAACGTAGTTTATGGCAACTGTTGGTCGAGTAGAACTGGGTCTTTCGACATGAACTACGCGGCGAAGTAGTTTTTTGGAGATATAATCCTCTGAATCCATTCCACACAGAATCACGTAGCTTTGACCTCTGCTCTTCCTCACCTAGGTGTGAGGTGATCTCCAGTCCTTTGATTGCTGATTTTTGTTGGCAGACAACGAAGGACACGTGTTTGGGAGGAGGGAATCGCAATCGGATTGTTTGCAAATACAGCGCGGAAAAAAATCGAAATCGTTCAGCTGTAGCACCCTTTCGGTGCCTAACTGCCATGCCACCCGTAGGAAGCACGAAGGTTAAAATGTTGTCAGGCTGCTGGAGCATAGACAGGAGCAGTCGATATGCTGGGGTCGGGTTCGAACCACGCACCTTCCGGTCAGTAAGTTCGGGTCATCATCGTTGGGCTTTCTCGAGCTCAGTAAAAGCCTGATTCACTCACTCAGAGAAGAACGAAAAGTGAGGAACAACTCTCAGCATATCTTTATAAAGAACCTCGGTAAGATTTTTTAAATTATCTTATCGATAAGATAGACAGGGAACTGATGCATACCATCTCAGTTGATGGGAATCTCACGCCGGTAGGCTAACACAAAACGAGGGAAAACCTGCCGATAGGGTGCTATTTGGCGAGCCAAGCTGGGGGAGCCACCCGACCAACGACCAGAAAACTTTTCACCTTGCTCTATTCGGAGACTCCGCATGTGGGCGCACTGATCGAGTTCCAGTCCGTCGCGCATGTTATTGCATTCGAACCTCATTTGCATACTCGTGTGTTTTATCGCAGGCTGCCACACCGTTTCGTTGTACCGTAGCTCATTTGTTTGAAGAACACCATGAACGATCGACCCGTTCACACCCTTCCCCGTGTGCTTTAAAAAAAGGCTAGCGTTGTTTAGTCTGGACACGACACCCATTTCTTTGGTGGGAGGCAAATATCGTGGGTGCCAAAAGCACGTTTAGTGTGTGAGAAACGCTTTGAAGATCATCGTTTTTTTCACTTCTATCCAACATCCAGGCTAACTCTTCACTGGATTTATGGCTATTTTTGATCTGGTAAGCGCAGACCTCCTGAGACAACCTGCTGAGAGGGGGCGAAACACCGATAAGGTCAGCCCGAATTAGGCCGTGAAAGTCAGTGCTTTGTTATTCATCAAAGAGCGCGAATTAGCTGACCGCAAGGTCCGTGGTTCGAACCCTCGACTTCCCCTGTCTAGGCTTGGGCGACCCGGCAGTATCTCAGCCCTCGTGCCTCCTTCGTGTGGCACGGCAGCTAGGCACCGAAAGGGTGCTACAGTTGAACGATTTTTTTATTCATCACTAGGAGATGGCGCATTCGTGAACTTTTCGATAAATTATACAGTAATCTTACCGCCGAATTCGACCGTACGTCATCACCATCATTGACAACAGCACCAGATGAGAGCACTAGTGCTTCACTGCGTATAGCCCCGGTCAACCTATTTGAATGGGAGGGAAAATGGACGCTGAGGGGAACCCAGGGTTAGGCCGCCACAAACGCTTCCAGCACTCCTTCGGACAATCTGGATGGAAACTGACAGCATGGCATCGGTTGGCCACCATATTGTCTCCAGCCGAGCACAGGAAGGATCACGGATGGAAACTGACAGCATGGCATCGGTTGACCACCATGTCTCCAGCCGAGCACAGGAAAGATCATGGGGACCCCATCGTGGTAAGCGAACAGCACCAACATCGCCCAAACTTTTCTTAACATCCTTCATCCCACTTCCGTCATGTCAAATTCTGTCCACCTCTAGGTATTCACCATTCTGCATCAGACACAGAAAACAACGCTCAACTTGGCGTGCGTAACGCATGTCCCGGCTACCTTAGCTTGCGGTGTTCAACACATTTTTCGAGTGAATTACCGTCTGCTTCATCAAAATCCGTCTCCTGGTCACCTCGCTGGCTCCAGCCGATTCCATCTAGAGTTCCGAGAGGTCGGTTGTCGAAGACCTGAATATCTCTTATCCTCCGCCCGAAGTAGCCAAGTCTCACAGCCGTAAAGCAATACAGCCCACGCTGTGGGTTATTACACGCGTCCTTTGAGACCCTGTGAGGTGTCTTTCTGATGCTAAAAACGGCGCAAATTGACAAACACAATTCTGGTCGTCCATCAGAACTAACAACTTGCGAGATGCGTAGACTGTTCCTTAGCTTCCAGTATCAATCCTCAGAGTCATTTTCAAAGTCCGGTAGCATGACCTTGCACTTTGTGGGCGGTAAGCACGTACTGAAGGACTGGATGGCCTTGGTAAACTTTTCCAGCAATGTCTATGCTTTGCTAGAAAATCTTACCAGGTACCACACATCCACAGTTCTGTTTTCATGGGATCTGTTCAAGCTGATCACAGGACTGTCATTATGCCCCTCACCTGTTTTTTCAATGGACGTAGGGACTTACTCGAGGAAAAAACATTGACCTTATTGATTTGTGAGCACAGGATAGTCATGTCATCATTTCGCTACCTGATCCCTTGCCTCATGTCAGTCAGGAGGGGTTTCCTCATGCTGTCGCTTTTCAAATCCGAACAACCTATGACGATACGCCTGACCCAGGACTAGTTTATATTCGTAGTGGCTTTCTTCAGACCACTCACAGGTTCAGCAACTTCCGCTTTGGATTGCCGGATAGCATTTATGGCAAACTGCTTTCTCTAGTCACACAGCCAGGTTACCCCAAGCCTAGTTAGGAGCAGTCGAGATACCCGGAGTTGGGTTCGAACCACGGACCTTCCGGTCACTGCCTCAATCACTGAGCTATCTCGAACATAACTCGCCAATCAGCATCAAATAAAACCGAGGATGTATTTGTAACCTCGGATAATCGCTTTCAAATGCGTGAGCGTGTACACTACACCACAGCTTTCATGACTGATGCATAGTGCGCTTTTGACGGTTGTTTGCTCACGACTGCTTGTCTGAGTCCTTCTGTCGGTTCATATCGGCCAGTAACGCTTCTCACCTGACGGCATCGTGGAAATGTTCTCATCCAGTTGTGGCACATCAAAATCCAGGAGCAGTTTGTATTCCTTTGTGTCTAAGTTACTCCAACAAAAAGAGGTGTTGAGAATATCTTTTAACGAACACTGGCGAACTTTCCCACTTCAACTGCTTAGGACGCATGAGCATTGTCCACGAGAAGTAAATTGGTTGTACTTGCAACTAATCGTTGTGAAATATGCCGCCGCTCCACGCGCTTCCCATCAGATCTGAAGAGAATCTGTCTTCCAGACAAACCAAACTGCTACCCTCAAACCGACCCATTGGCACGTGCGTTACGTCATGTGATTCGTTCTGAGCCTGTCTTCTGACGTCAATCCAATCTCTTAGCTGCTTGCTTTTTCCTGAATTTCTTTTGTCAGTTGATAATGATGTCCTTACCACATGTTGTCCATTCCGCTGCTAGTCGCGTGCGTTCTTGCCACGCGATGCACCATCGCTTTGCTTGTGGTTCAGTTATGCGTATTTTTACCTGGCCAGTTCTGTTGCTCTCTCTGGTTTCAAACCTGAACCGTGTACAATGCGTACCGGTCGTTAGTCTCTGGCTACAGACAAACGACAAAACTGAGGGAAGAGCCAAGCGATGCCAAACAAGAATCGAAGAGAGCGAATTTAAGAAGTGTGGGTGACTACAAGAGTGCCACTGGGTTCGTGATTTGTCGCGGGTTTTTGATCATCAATTAGCTTGAGATAGCTCAGCGAACTTACTAACCGTGATTTCCGTAGTTCGAAACCAACCCCGGCATCTCAACTGCTGTTGTCTAGGCTTCGGCAACGTGGCAGTATCTTGGCCCTTGTGCCCCCCTTTCGGGTGGCGTGGCGGCGAGGCACCGGCGTGGCAGTGAGGCACCGTTACAGCTTGACGACTCAGCTCGCGAACTGGGTGAGTCTTCAGCTTCCCAACCTTACAGGCGGCGTACATCGGCGCGTGTCGCCTTCCACCGAGAAGACAAATACCAGCCGCCTGGGTGAACAGCTTTCAAGCACACTTGACAGTTGATCAAATCTATCTAACCGGCGCAGTTTCACCCCACTATCAATCCGGCGTCTATTAGAGGACTTGCAAAACAAGACTTGGATTGACACCAAGTAATCACCTTCTACCTACCATACTAACATTAGACCGGCGGCACAGATGGTTAAGATGGTATCAGACCGGACGACCTCTTCATGGTGTTGCGTTCACTTCATCAGGACAAAGTTAAGGGACATTTTTGAGTGTGATTACTGGGCGCAAGAACAGTTTAGATGGTGACATTCAAATCGATTTGCTCTAGCTACTAGAAAAGCGGAAGGCATCCTGAGGGTATCTACGGAACCAATCCAATGTTGTCGAAACTGCTCGGGAGAGGCTTTAAACACGTCACGACTCAGTCGTTTAAAGTGAGCGGACCGGGTGACACTCCATTCTGGGAATTTTGGATGATCGGATAATGTCACAATCGATCCCGTTCACTCGATGGCTTGAATGTGACACGATAATGTCACAATCGATCCCGTTCACTCGGTGGCTTGAATGCGACACGTTCATCCAATCGGATTTCCAGCCTATGGGAAAAATATTGGGTTTGTCGGATGAAAGTTCAGGCTTCTCACTGACAGGATGATCTCTCTGAAAGCGTTGAAATTTGCGTTTTTAGATATGATTCTTTGCTGAGTCTTTCGCCTCGACTCGACCCCACCTTCACTTTAAACAAGTACTTGGATCTGAACAGCACTGAATCAGTGACTGCTGGTGGTGGTGTGGTTCCTTCATCGATTAGAGTCAACCCGTTTGTGCTGTGTTTGGTGCCTAACGCATGATGCCTCCTGGTTTAGCATGTCACATGCTTGCTGCTGTGTCTTGTGTAGTGAAGCAGGCCGGACCAGATGACCAATAATCAGATGTCATCCAACTGTTGATCCAGTACATGGCACTGCCTTTTCAGCGTATAACTGCGCGTGTGCTATCGAACCGGAGCTTGACGAATCGATGTGGTCGCCGTCATTATGCACACAAATGCACCAGTAGTAAGTATTGTAGCCGCTAAACAGTCATCGAGGAAGCGTGAGTTGGGAAACAATGGAGAGAAGGGAAGTGGGAAGTAGAAAAAGCCTTGTATATCTAAGGAAAATGAACCAGAGGATTGAAGGCATGTACAAATCCGAACAGGACAATGAGCATCATCAACGCCTTTGGTCCAGTGTCTTTCACAAACCCAGCGTACGACAATTAGAATGTAGCCAGCCAGCCTTGCTAAGACACGCTGCCGGTTTTGGTTACGCGCTTTATCCCGTAGAATTTGCAACCATGTGCAAGCAACGTCAATTGGGAAGGCGCGACGACTCCCTGGCGCTCAGTTTCCCTGTCCCGTTGTTTGTAATGGCCTGTTTCCCGGGTGGAAAATAGAGCTTTATTGAACAACGTTCAAGCATGCGTAGTACATAGCCAACAATTCATCTGTTGTCCTCGTGGCTGACTCGTTCCGATGCCTACGGAGGCTGTAGGCTCCAGATGGGTGACATTTGTTGACCACGACAATTGTTGTGTTATGTCTGCTGATTCGTCAATCTGTGGCATCTGCTGCTGACCTACTCCAGTGCCTAGTTGCCGAAAGAAAAGACTCACAGAAGGGAACACAACAGCTATATACCGAACAAGCGAGTGCGAAAAGTGCAACGGTCTCAAGCTTTTTATTGGAAGGACACTGTCTGAACTTAGTCTGGCTTTGGTACGAGGCTGCGACGTGCTGCATATTGCGGGGGCGTTGTCTGGCCTTGATCAGCGCTGACTCGCGCTGTCTGGGTTTGATACAAGGCTGTGACGCGCTGCATGTTGAGAGGGTGTTGTCTGTCTGGTCAACATCTAGCGGAGCTGAGAGTCTCGGTAGATTTCTGGCATTCAGTGGCT